GAGGGGCACACAGAAGTGGTCTGTCTAGATCACCCCGTGCCCCCCTCTCATGGTCCCCCCACCCAGCAGGGTTCATAGTTTACTGGTTTCCTTGCTCTGTCTCCCACATAGGACGGATGCTCTGAGGAAGGGCCTGGCTGTGTGCAGTCACACAGCAGCGCTCCACGAACACTTGTGATGGGACTGCTCTGTGTCATATCCTCCCCCTTGCGGGCATTTCTTGGGGGAGGCTGGGAGCTGAGTCCCCTCCTCACATCCTGTCTGGACCAACCCACTGCGTGGCTCACAAGAGGGGAGTCTGGTGTGGTCAGGGGAAATACTTGGCTTTCTCAGGCTCATCCTGAGTCAGCAGAGAGGTCACTGACTGAGTCCTGACCACTGGCCAACAGCTGTAGAGGCTGGGGCCCAGCACTGGCTGCACATGTGGGGCTCATTGTCCTCTCTGGGTGACCATCCCTGCCTGTGGGACCACATGGGTATCCTCCAGCTCCCATGTCTTGATGGCCCACCCTCTGTGACTTCCCTGTAACTGCCCATGGGGGCCTCATAAGGGTCACTCTCCTTTCTCTCCACGAGTCTGAGAAAGCCCAGGGGTCTTCCCAGGCAAAGACACAGCACTACACCATGCACCGTAAAACTCAACAGGGTTACTCCCTGAAAGCCAAGTTCCACCCCACAGACCATGGCTCCACTGTTCACCCCCATGTAGTCCTGTCCACTCGGGGGTCCCAGGATTTGTGTCCTTAAACCTGACTGTCTCAAGAGCACGACACAGGAACAGTGGAGAGAAATAGAATCTTCCTGGAATTGAACATTAGCAACTGAAGTCATCAAGGAAAACAGAAGACAGTGAACCAGGATGGGGGCCTCCAACAAGCCCCTGCAGGAGCAGGGCGGTGGGGAGGGTCCACTCCCACTGGGCCCGGCCGCTCCTTAGAGGCGCACTGCGATGGTCTGAGCGTCCAGCTCAAGCCTGGCTGCTCATCCCCCCCTAGGCATGCACAGAGCGAGGCCATCTCCTAATGTCCTGCCGTCTTCATAAATCTCTCTGTTAACCACACCTCTAATGGCTTTTAAACGAGTCTTTTCATTTGGAACATTTCGCAGGCAACACGCAAGCCATGTGCCAGACAGCAGACAGCAGCGGGACACCTCAGGAGTGTGGGCAGGAACTGTGGGGTCTGTTGGTGGCCAGGACAGCTCACAGCCAGGGAGCAGGGCTGGCCAGGCTCCTCTTGGTTCCTGGCCTGGGTGGGTCCAGAAACCAGGACCATGGCACTGGGTCCTTGTCAGCGGGTAGGGAGGTCTCTGTGTAGCTTGAAGCCACCAGGGAGCTGAGTTTCAGGAGGGTGGGTGGGGTTGGTCTTTATCACAGGCCCTGATCTGCTCACAGTATTGTCCTTCAGGGCCAAAGGCATCCCTCCTATCGGGGCCAGGCCAACTAGGGAAACCCAGGAGTCCGTGGGCGTCGTGGTTCCCTCCTATGCTCAGAGCCTGCACCCCTACTGCCTGCTCTGAGGATTTTCATAGTTTTATCTCTGAAGGGGAATCCACAAATGTTGCCTGTATATATTCTTTGGCTGGGAAATATCACGCTCCTCCTGAAATACAGCCTAAAAATCCTACAGCTTCCCAGCATCCACTGGTCTTCCACCCCACAGACACAGACACAGGATTGCTTCTGGCTGGGTTGGGGGAGGCAGCTGCACACATGGGTCTGGTCCCGTTTGGACACTCACCCAGGGACCTTGAGGCTCCTCCCTGATGGACAAGGTCTGCTTGTCTGCCACATGGGAAGAGGCCATCTAGAGCCACTATGAGCGCCATGAAGGCGACGGACACTGGGTGCCTGAGATGGAGTGCTCTGTTCACGTGCCGCAAGCTCCCGAGGGAAGAGGCACGGCACCCCAAATCCTACCTGAGAGCACAATGACCTAGCATGCCTGTGACTCCCGCAGTGTGGGTGTCCTCTGCCACTCCCCCTTTCCCCAATTTCAGGTAGAAATTCCCTGGGAGCAGAGCCTCCCAAGATGCCCATGGAGGATGCAGGGTTCACATTCCCACCAAGGACTACACGCAGTCCAGACAAAGGTCGGTTCTGGAGGCGAGGGCATCCCCCGGTCCCCAGACCTCCCCGGCACTCCCTCCCCACCTCCGTGTTTCCTTTGTGGCAATACTAGGAGCAAACAGCTCACAGACGGGGCAGCAGGGACCCCAGATAAACTGCATTCTTACCAGGTTGTCCCTAGGGGGCAGCACATGACCAACACTTCCCCGAAATACAGCCGCGCCATCTGCAATGCCAGGGGTGTGTGTGTGTGTGTGTGTGGTGTGTGTGGTGTGTGTGTGTGTGTGGTGTGTGTGTGGTGTGTGTGTGTGTGTGTGTGTGTGGTGTGTGTGTGGTGTGTGTGGTGTGTGTGTGGTGTGGTGTGTGTGGTGTGTGTGTGTGTGTGTGTGGTGTGTGTGTGTGTGTCTGTGTGTGGTGTGTGTGTGGTGTGTGTGTGTGTGTGTGTGGTGTGGTGTGTGTGTGGTGTGTGTGTGTGGTGTGTGTGTGTGTGTGTGTGTGTGTGTGTGGTGTGTGTGTGTGTGTGTCTGTGTGTGTGTGTGTGGTGTGTGTGGTGTGTGTGTGGTGTGTGTGTGGTGTGTGTGTGTGTGTGTGTGTGTGGTGTGTGTGTGTGTGTTGTGTGTGGTTGTGTGTGTGTGTGTGTGTGTGTGTGTGTGTGGTGTGTGTGTGTGTGTGTGGGTGTGTGTGTGTGTGTGTGTGTGGTGTGTGTGTGGTGGTGTGTGGTGTGTGTGGTGTGTGTGGTGTGGTGGTGTTGTGTGTGTGTGTGTGTGTGGTGTGTGTGGTGTGTGTGTGTGGTGTGTGTGTGATGTGTGTGTGTGTGTCTGTGTGTGTGTGTAAGAGTGTTCAGGCAACACACACCCTGGTCATGCCATGCCTCTCTGCTAATAGGCATGGAAACACCGGGCAAGGCCTTGGCTCTGGCTTTGGAGAGACATGTGCTGCTCATGGCTTCTTGGGTGGCCCAGCACTGTCCTCTCTCCCCAGGGGAGGGCACAGGACCCTGTTTGGTTGCTGCTGTGTGTGTGACCTGCTGATGGTCCTCCCCACGGCATTGCTGCCACGGGCTGTGGGACTATCTCTCCAGTTACATGACAGGAGCCCAGGCTGGGAGCAGCCTGGACTGCAGAGCCTCCCCCCACCTGAGTAGGTGCTCGTTCAAGGTTATTGGAGGGTGTGTGTGACAGGGTAGCAGCATCTCTGAGCTCTGCCGTGCTGGCGTAGCTCCTCCGTGGCTCTGGTAATTCTTTCCTCCTGGTACTGGTGATTAAACCTACGGCTTCGTGCATGCTTGGCAAAGGCTCTACCACTTGAGCCCTTTCATTTGTATTTTGTTTTTGAGACAGGGTTGTGCTAAATTTGCCTGGCCTGTCTCTGCCTCCCAAGTGCTGGGATTGCAGGCATGTGTCACCACACCCAGCTTAGTAAAATATTGTGCAGCAAAAGCCCCCACTGTGTGCCATCTGTGTCAGTCCACTCCCCACCAGCCACAAAACACTTGTCTCTGATTTTTAGTGCCCTGAGGCCTTCTGGCAACCCCCATTTCTCAGAAGCACTGGGGCTGGGGCTCACAGTGTCCTCTGATGTGCTCATGGCCAGTGAGGGCCCCAGATCCACCTCACCTTTCTGCAGAGCAGAGAGTTACTGTCCACATGTCACCCTGTGCACCACCCTTACAATTTAGATATGTCTAAAAGTGGCTCTGCCCTTCCCAGGAGTGCAGACAGGGGAAATTTTACAGTGAGCCCTCTTTGTCAAAGTCGAGGAGGGGACATGAGGCATCAGAGGCCCCATAGCTCTCAAACTTGCCAGGATCCCTGGCTGTGGGGACTCTTGGGGACCAAGGCTGGCACTTTCTTGCCAGTCTTGTTCCCCAAAGCAACCTCATGAGCCTGTGTTTTCAGTTCTCAAGGTCTCTGCAGATTGGGAGGACAAGGCTGAGGAGCCTTCCAAAGTGGCTTGCTCAGAGAGGGGACAGTTGAGGCCATCAAGAAAGAGTGCACTGCCAAGAAGTTGCCACAGCTTCTGCAAATGAGCCCCCAGTGAGCAGCGTCTTGCTTGCTCCAAGTTCAGCTCGGCTCTTCTCGTCCCAGGAGCCAAGTGTCTCATGGAGTAAATTTTGTCTGTGATGTTGCTGGCCTCTGTGGTCACTGGGCAAGCAGGAGTCCAGACAGAGGTCTGTGGCGCTCTGTCCTGTTGCCACTGACAGGGGCTGTCAGCCAGGGGCTGGACACGAATATTCTGGGACCCCGAGGGTGTGCTCAAATGGGGACAAATGACCAAGTGCCTAGAGATGGCACTCTTGGTGGACCCCAGTGGTGGAAGCCCGCCCACCTCCTTAGCCCACACCCCAGCGGCTCTTTCTGGGTCTCGCTCTGGGTAGTGTGGTCAGCACCATCCACACACTGGTGGGAGAAGGCTGGTGTCACACAGCCTCATGGGGCCTTGAGAGGGCCTGAGGGGTGGATGCCACAGATCTCCATTGGGTAAGTGACCTGTTAGTCCATCCTTGATCACCCAGTTCAGCACAGTGTTGCCAAATCCAGGGCAGCTGTGTCATGAGGACTCACGGCCACTCAGCGGGCACCCAGCGCATGCTGCAGAGCAAGTGGGTCCCTGAGGTGCTTAAACTACCCTGAGACCTGGTGCTGACCCCCAAGAACCCCACAACCTTTTTTCTGCCTCCCTTCTACCCCTCACCACTGCACGTACCACAGAGACTGACCTGGGACCCTCACAGGGTGTCAGCTGGGGACCTGCTCACGTGGCCAGGGTGAGTGCCCTGCCATGCCTTTCTCCCTCTTGCCCACGCAGGAGCCGTCACCCAGGGCCAGCACCTGGCTCCTCACTGTGCAGCACTGGGCATGCCCCACCCAGGCCCCACACCCCATGTGGACCACAGCACTTGCCACCTCTAGTGGCCCACAGCCTGCCTCACCTCACGGTCCAGGCCGGCTGCTACAGTGACAATGTCCCCCGTCTCGCTGTTGATGGTGAACATATTCTGGGATGGGCTCTGTGGCGTTTGGGTGACGATCCGGTACCGCACCATCCCGTTGGCCGTGGTGCTGTCATCTGCGTCATTGGCTGTGACGGTCATCACGTAAGTGCCTGGAACAGAGAGGGAGCAGCTCGGATGAGAGGACCTGACCAAGGCCTCTCTACATGCCCAGTCCATCCCAAAGCTGTGGGTGTGGCTGGGCGCCCCTGCTGCATCCGTCCCCACAGTGGGTGTGGGACACTCTCATTCGTCCAAGGGGCTCCAAAGCAAGCCTGCTGATGGAAAGATTTCTCCTGGGCTCACGGCCCCTTTGAGGTCCCTACTCTCACATTCTCTTTGTTCCTCAGGGGTATGGGAGAGGATAGGGTGCAAGCCTCCAGAGCCCGGACTGCAGGCCAGGCTTCAGATCCCAGCCCTGCCTTGGCCTGAGGCACTGGTGAAGAATCCAGGGATCCCACACAGAGTCCATCCTTGTGGGGTATAAACCGAGGGACTCAGAGGCCCACAATAAAGAAACGGGGCTTAGAGCAGGGCAGGGTACACAGATGGTGTTTAATAACTCTATTCAATGAAAACAAACCTAGACGGGCCCTTAGAGGAAGGCTGAGCACATAGGGATGTCGGTGATGGAGTGAAGTGGGGCTGCTTGCAGGATGCGTGGCCATCTGCAATTCTGAGCCACCACACTCACCATCTGCCCAGTGCCTCAGTTTCCCCTCCCACACATTAGGGTTAAGGTCTGTACACGTCCTCCCTCCTGCAGCATTTGGAGACCCACATGGGGAGGGATGGCACCTGCACATCCAAGCCCGGTCATGGTGCTTGGTCCAGGGAAGAACACATCGCCCAGTTAGACCCAGTGACGAAGGAGGAGGTGTTTCTGGGAAACAGACGCACTGTCCCTTTCACTGGATTTGGCAGAGTCAGCATGTGAGACCAGGAGTCATGGCACTTTGTGGCCATCTGTTTGATCAGGGCCATTTTGGAGAAAACAGATCTGAGCAGCGCTCTGGTGACCTGGCCCCAGGCATCCTCTGGATCAAGCCATACCTGGAACTGTTCTTCATGGACTTTTTGTAAACTTGAGCCAACACATTTCCCTCTTAACTTTATACCATTCATTTCCACCGCCGCTCCCATTTGCAACCCAGAGTTCTGACTGCCATGAGCTCCCTGCCCCATGCTGCCGCTAGAGTCTTGGGCTAGGGGCCTGGTCCTGATCTGATTGGAACAACTTGTTGGACAGTGCCAATCTGGGGACAGGGCAGCAGCAGGACTGGACAGGAGGTCCCCTCATGCACAGAGCTCCCTGCCTGTCAGATAGGGTTTCTGTTTATGTGGGGGCCCCAGAAAGCCCCCGGGGAATTCACTCCCATTTGGAAGCTTCTCTCTTTGCCACCTGGCCAACTCGTCTTCATCCTCGGGTCTTAGCCTCAACACTGGTTCCTGGACCCCCGACTGAGTCTCCCCCTGCCCTCGAAGAGTTGTGTGTTTGACGCCTGTTCTGTGAGATTATGGGCCCGAGAGGTGGGGCCTGGTCCGTATTGTCCCTTACTCTGTCTCTGTGGCCTGGCCCTCAGATGCATTGAAAAATATTTTCTAGAAGGCCACAGGAGCGGGCGGTTTCTCTCTTGGGCAGGAGGGGACTGCGAGGAGCCCAAGGCCACTTCAGACTCCCAGGACCCCAGAGTGGGAGGGGCAGGTGAGCATCTCCTCTTCACTTGGCCCCATCCCGCTCAGCCATGCTCGGGCAGGAGGCCCTTGGGGTTTGACCAGAGCCTCCTGGTTCTACCGAGTGAAAAGCTTGTCGAGAGATTTTATCTCAGGAAGACAGGAGGGAGAGGAACACAGGAAAGGTGGAAGGGTCACAGGAAATGGTGTCCACATTCTCATCAGTGGGCAGCAATGTGGTTGGGACAAGACATTCCAGTCCAAAGGAAGAGAAGCCACAGCCAGAGCAGAGGGTGGACAGCAGACAGGACAGAGTAGAGGTGGCCAGCACCAGGTGCTGACAGTCACCAGGCCACAGCCCCTCCCACCCATTTGTTCACTCCACAAACATGTAATTTTGTTGAGGCATAATTCACATGCATGAAGTTTGCCCTTTTAAAGAATAATTCTGAGGTCTTAGCACTCTCATGAAGTCATGCAACTATCACCACTATCAATTCCAGACCATTTTTCTCCTTCACCCCAAGGAAACTTGTTAGCAGTTACTTCCTGTTTCTTCCTCCTTCAGCTCACTTTCTGTCTATGGATTTAAGGTCATATAATACATGGCTTTTTATGTCTGGCTTCTTTCATGGAGTCCAATGCTTTTGAGGTGCAAAGCTTTTTCTGGCTGAATACTATTCCATTGTGTGAGGATATTCACTCCACACTTGTTACCTGCGATTATTATACATGCCGGGCACCATATGCTGGTTGTGGACAGAGCATTGAGCACAGTTAGAAAAACACTGTCCCCACCCCTTACTGCCTGCAGGAGACAAAGCAGACAGGTTAAGAAATGCATAAATGCAGATGGTGACAAGTGCTCTGCAGAGAGGAGAGAAGAATGCACAGACAGGCATGCAGAATCTGGGGTGAGGAGGTGGGCCACAGAGGATGCAGAGAATACTTCTCTGAGAGATGGATTGGGAGGTCGGAGGGGAGGAGACCCTGAGCAGAGGGGCAAAGCCCTGGGGTATGTGAGGAACAGAGAAGGGAAAGGAGTGTGTAGTGGTGTTGGGGACGGGCTGGACCTGTGGTGAGGAGTCTGCACTTAATTCTAAGGTCACAGGAGGCCAGCATTGTAAGTTCAGCAGGGAGTGATGGGGTCAAGTCAATGTTTCTAAGACACGTATAGAAAGTAGACTGTAGCCAGTCAGGCGTATCGGGGGCTAGACTGGGTGGAGCAAAGAGGTTCGTTCATTCACTGGGATTTATAGAAGGTTGGTTGTAATCAGATCAAGATGTAACTGGGGACCACCCACTAGAACAATTGTGCATTCATTCAACACACCTCTATCAAGTATTTTCTAGAAAAAACAAGAGAGAACTTGTGCATTTTGAGGCCCTAAGAAAAACCTCTTCAAACAGACCTGCCCTACTTCATGCAAAGAGTTGTGTGTAAACCCAATTTTTAAAATAAATTTAATTATCAATATAATTTCCCAAGAGGAACTAGGTATTTAAGAGAAATTCAGGGAGATCTGTTTTTTTTAATTAATTAATTTTTTTTTTTAGCAAAGGTAGATTATGTTGGTTTTAACCAGTCTTCCTTTTGAGGAAAACTAGAGAAGTTGGATGAAAGGTAAATAAAATCACCTTCTTAAGGCCAAGATTGCTGCTAAGGGGCAGGGACTTGTGGGACTCGTAGAAAAGGAGGGCCTGGGACCCAGGGTCCCCTTCTCTCAAGGCATTTGTTGATTACAAAATTGGCTGTAGCAGGATGAAGAGCTACAGGACTTTTGACAGACTCACAGGAATGGGAGTAAAAAACTGGATGTTAGACTTCTCAGAAGGAGGAGGCCTGGCAACCCCTCTAGTCTTTGGGTTAGATCTTGAAGTACAGCACCTTGAAAGAGAGGTGACCTGGAAATAAATAGTCCTGTTAGGAAGAAGCATAGCTGAAGTTTGGGGAGGTGAGGTGGAAGTGATCTAAGATTGTTAGCTCCTGACCAGGAGCAAATCAGTCCTCCATGGAGAAAGGCAGCAGCCACAGCCTCGATATCGCTATGAATTTTCACACACAATGCACAGCATTTAGTAACTAAGCATACAAGAAGACAAAACCTGACTGAAAACAAAGAGAAAAAACAGACACTAAACGGTTCCAGAGGAGATTCAGATAATGGAGAAATCAGAGGCAAACTTAAAAACAAAAACAGTTTTTTATGTTCAGGGAATGGAAAAAAAAAGAGAAAACTTTGCCAAAGAATTGGAAATTCTTTTAAAAAATGGAATGGATAACATGCATTTAAAAAACAAATTAGAACTTAACAGTAGGTTGAATACTACTGAAGAGAGAGTTAATGAATTGGAAGACTTACAAAAAAGAAAATATTCAGATCAAAGCAACCCAAAAAAGTGCACAAGAAACATATGAGCCTGTCACAGGTTTATCGAATGTGTAATTGGAGCCCAGAAGGACTGAAGAGAAAGAGAGAGGGGCAGGAGCCATGTTTGAAGTGACAATAGCTGAAAATTTTACAAAACCAATCAAAGAACCTGCCACAAATGTAAGAAGTAATATAAACCCTAAGCAGGATAAATCAAAGAAAATCACAGCTTGTTATGTCATAGTAAATGGCTAAAAGCCAAAGCACAAGACAAAAAATTTAAAAGCAACTAGAGCTTTTTTTAAAAGGCATAAACCTTTACTGAAGCAATAATCAGACTTAACGCTGCCTCTCAACAGAAGCCAGAAAACAACAGAATGAAAGAGCGAGGAGAGAAGTAATGGACAATCTGGAATTCTCTATTCAGTAAAAAAGGAAAACTTTCTAAAATGAAAATGAAGCTGAGCCATATTTAGACAATCGAAGAAAGATAACCTGTCACCCAGAGGCCGCACCAAAGGAAGCACTAAGGGTGCTTCCCTGGCAGAAGCAAAATGCTGTCCCCCCACCCCACCAGACGTTTTATATAAAGGACAAATGACAGCACATCGGAAGACAGGAATTTTATAAGACAAAAGCAATCTTGCCTTCTTGGGGTTTTAAAGCTGCCTACAAAACAAACAAACAAATAAACATATAAATGTACAAATCAAACCCTTGCAGAATTTCATTAGAAAGTGAATCCTGTGCCGGAGAGAGGCGCTGTGACTTTCAAAGTGCTCCATCACTGAGTGGGGGAAGTCACGGCCACTGTTATCAACTGTCCATTGCTAAAAGAGGGGCAGAGCCAGAAGTCAGCAGGGTTGGAGGTGACAGTAGGTGTTCTGGTTAGGGAGAGGCCACTCCAGCTCTCACTGCTCTTCCTACCTTACTACCCTAGGAGCTCCTAACATCTCACTCGTGAACGTCCTCCACGAAGCCCTCGAGGGCTGGCGAGCCTGGCACAGACAGTGCTGTGCAGCAGACAGCGAGGTGATAGGGCTGATGAGGGATGCAGAGGAGGTGGA